CCCAAACTTAAAAGCAGAGTGATCCAATTTTGAAATTATCTACAGTAGAAATTAAGGGTGTCACTAATTAAGCAAGTCACTATCTCTGATAGGCACCTGTTTACACTGCTCTCCATAGCAGGATGAGATCATGCATGTTGTTGGCTTCAGTATGGTTAAGTCAACTGTCCAGGTTCCTTCTTTGACCTGAATCAGCCAAGCTGGGCTAGAACTGCTGAGCAGAAGGCAGTGAAAGAAGGCACAGTACTAATGTCATCTGGCAGTAGATGCTTTCCAGGAATATACCAGAAAAGAGGAGAAGCTACAAGATATAGAGGAGTCTCAGGAAAAAAACCCTACATCCCAACAAAAAATCAAATTTAAGAAAAACCCACTAGGGACTAAAACACTGGAAGTATAACCTAAAGTACCATTTTAGGTTTTTTAAAATTCAGTTGTTTCATACATATGGTATAAAAGAGTTTAGTTTTTTTTTTTAATTAATAGCCATTTCTATCCTTGGAGACTATAAGGGAAACAGCTTGTCAAACAAGCCACCGGACTGGGGGTAAAAATGACTTAGTCCCCCTTCCTCTGGCCCTGCTCTCTTCTGGGCATCACTAGTGTTCAAAAGGATGTCTGCTTTTTCAGGAAAATATGCCAGAAGCATCTGTTCAGGATGGCTCTCATCAGGATTGACACAAGCAAGAAATCCAGGAAATCCTGCACTGAAAAATAAAGGCTGTTGTTTTAGGGCTCTAACCGTGGGTGAAAGAAGATTGGGGTACATTTTTCCTGCTAGGAAAGTTGAAATTGTCCACCTTCATATTTAAAAAACCCACAATAATAAAACAACCCAAAGCAAAAGCCTAGGGATGAATACTTAGGAAACTGGATTCTTAATATTCTTAATAACTATTTAACCCACAAATACGGGTGATTCTTAGACTATGAAACTGCAGGCAGAAGACTGGGAAATTACTTCACTCATGAGTCACGGTGGAGCTTGGCAATCTACTCAAATGATACCCCAATTGCTGTGCATGCTTAAATTAACAATGCAGATGTGCTAAAAGGTCACTTCAGAAGCCTATCAAGCACACAAAACTTTGTGAACAACTGGAAAGATCCAAAAAGTATCTTTTAAAGAAGCAGAGCTTTATAAAACTACACCATGGTATATATTCTTATTGCTCCATAACCACATGGATGTACTGAACAATGTCCTGGAGATGCTGGAGACGTAGCAATGGAGTGGTGCCAGTTACTCTCCATGATGCAGTGTTCTTGGAGAGTGGATTACAATAAAACCTTGTGGACACAGTACAAGTTTTGCTCACTCTTGAATTATTTACCATCGCTGCCCCACTTTATGGCATCAATTTTTCCTTGTGGGACAGTGTCACAAGATTTCTGCAGTTTGCATTAGTAATCGATCCTTATACATAATAGGCATAGACTTTCTACAAGATGTGCTCACTTACAAGTGCTGGGATGGCCAGTTTTTATTCTCTTGTTTCAGAGCAGCTCTAAGATTGCATTTTATTCCTAATAGTCATTTATCATCATAAATTGATGAGACAGTACAATTTCTTCATGTACCAAGGAAAATTCACAGGAAAAAAAAGCACAGAGAAGTATGGTGTGTCCTTAAAGCAATGATTCCATGTTATACCAAATTGCACATGCATAGTATGTAACGCTACTTACTGTTCTTGGACTACACTACTTTATCAGAACACTTGCTAACCTGGACAAACTTCCACAACTGGGCTGCAACCAGCAAGGGTCCTAGTAGCTCCAGTAGCTATGGATGAAACTGTCAAAACATCCTTACTTTCTTTTCCTCCATGATAGTGGTATACGTAATGAATTCTTTGTATTACGTGTTATAACCCATATACAACCTGATTAATGACATTTGCACAGGGGCCAGTTTTGTTCTTTCTCATCACCCCTCCTATAGAGCAATACACAAAATAGGCATTTCAGAAAGTGTGTTTTTTGTAATGATGTACCATATTGGGCACAAGATGTGTATATTTCATATACCAATTGTCTGTAGATATCTAATATCAACATCTATCTAAAGCATACACTATAAAAACGTTAACTGGTGACCCAAAGATATATTGGGACAGAACATAGGGATATTGTGTTGGACACTTTTACAATAAATCAAAGCAAGGACCATGAAGCCAAACTGATGAAGATTCATAAAACAGTACTAAAAAGGAACCATCCAGGATTATAGCACTAAATTATTCATGTATTGTAGGCAAAGAACTTACCTGTGAGACAATACATCCTAGAAGTGGGTAGGATCATTGCAGTAGTACTGCAACTAGAATGGTCTAGTTACACCATGTATTTACTTTCTAGGCACAACCATATACAGATGACGTTTGTGAACATTTCCCCATCCTGCACTATTTACCCGTTCTGTGAAGCTGAGAGATTTTCCTGATTTAAAGTGCCCCTTTACATATAATAATGAAGTGTCAGTCAAGCAGTTCTAATTTCAGCCAACTGGGGGAAAAACAAACACAAAAGCCCTATAGATACACCAAACATTCTGGTTGTTTTCTCAAACTGAGAAATAGCACATTATACATCTATTCCTTAATTATATAATACACAACATGCACAAATAGGCTACACATGGACAGACACTTATAAAATACCTTCTAAATAAGTAATTAGAAGTTTTTGGTCCAATCCACATGATAGATTAAATGAAATCGTAAGAGGCAGTACACACACATCCCCTTCCATGCCTCTTCCACCCAAAAACACACAAAACCCACTTTTAGATTAGGAGAGAAAAGGAATAAACAGAATCACTCTCAGCTCATTCTCTCTATACACACATACACATACATATATGTATACACATATACACACATGCACATGTACACACACATACATATAGCTGGACACTACCTGAATAACACCACCACCATACGAGGAGGCTCTGAACACCTGAATTCACAGATGATCAGGTGAGCTGATTGTAGAACAGATTACAGATATCATGAAAATAAAGTCCTATGGTAGCTACCAGTCTCTCGAGAGCTTGGTGTTCTGGTCTCTTTTGGGGGGAGCAGGAGGGGGTCCTCTCCGCAGTGTTGCATAGCCTGATATATGACTGCCTCCATAACCAGCCTTCTGCTGCTCAGACAGCAGTTCAGGGGGTGGCGGGGGCAATGCCATATCATCCATGGTGGCTGTGGGTTCTGCTCTGGCCATGCGGGAGGAGGAGAGTGAGCCATGCCGAGTGATGGACTTGCGTTGCAGTGTCCTGTTGAGGTCCGCCAGGAATCCAGGCTGGACACTAAGGCTGGATTTGGGAGAGGTGGGCACTTGTGGCACAACTGTGGCCATTGCTGGCTGCTCCAAGATCTCCGCTTGAGTGAGGCGGGTGCTGTCGTTCCGTTTGGGTCGTGTGGGTGGAGGGGCTTTCTTCACTGATGTTTTAGACCATGGCTGCGGTTGAGGATTAACAACTGCCACTTTTGGAGAGGTGCTGCCCGAGAATACTGCTGGAATCTCTACGGGGGGCAGAGGAAGCTCTATTTCAGGTGGAGGGGGTGGAAAGTCAGAATCAGATGGGGGAGAAGGAAATTCCACCACGGAGTCCTTTCCATGCCCACTCAGAACAGAGGCTTTTGCTGACACACACCCTTGTTGGAGAACTCCAGGAAGGTTAACTCCAGAAAGATTTAGTTTCCCAGGTTTGGGCGGTGCTGCAGGAGGTGGTGGGGTCTCCTTGCTGGGAGACCCTGATTCTGCCGGTGGTGCAAACTTGCTCACTAGACTGTCAACCGAAGGTCTCTTAGGCTCAGGATGCTCTGTGTAACCACTGGATTTAATGCTGGAGTTGCGCTGTGGGGTTGGGGGTGGTTTCTTTCCCCCAGGGCTGGATGTCTTACTGGTCTTTTTGCCTGGAGATCCACTTTTGTCAGGGACAGGAGAAGCCGTGGGCGGTGGTGGTGGTGGTGGGGCTGGGGCTGGTGGTGGCAGTGGAGGAGGAAACACCAGGCTGCTCTCAGGAGGGGGAGGAGGGAAGTCAGGAGAGGGGACAGGGATGGAGCTGGGCTGCCACTTGGGTTTTGCTTTCACAGCAGGAGGGGACTGTGGAGCTACATTTGCTGAGATGGGCTTTAGGGGCTGAGATTCCATAGGAGGAGGGGTTGGAGGTGGGGGGAACTGGCTGGCAATCTGCTTCACCACTGAGGGCACTGAGGGCACGGGGGACAGTGGAGAGGGAGGGGGTTTCACACAGAAGCTCTGTTGCTTGGGTAATGTAGGTGGGGGGACTGGACCAGGAGGGGGAGGGGGAGAGGGTGGAACATGAGAAACAGGGAAAGCCAGCTGCTTCTTTGCTGGGGGCACTGGAGGAGTTGGTGTGGGTGGTGCAGCCTGTGTCACAACAGGCAGCACAGTCTTGGTGCTGGTTGGTGGGGGGATGGTCACGAGAGGTTTCGGGGGGGCTTGGGGAGGGAGGGGTGCAGGGACAGGAGGAGGTGGGGGGGGCGTTGGAGGAGCCGCCTGAGTAATATGCTGAACTTGATGAATCTTCAGCGGAGGAGGTGGGGGGCTGAACTGTGGGAGGGACGGGCCACACGGTGCCGGCTTCAGCTGGGCCATAGCCGAGCCAGGGGTTGGGGGAGGTGGAGGCGGAGGCGGCGGTGGAACAACTCCACTGGGGGGCACCAGGATCTGAGGCTTTACTGACTGTGATTGCATCACTGGGGGCGTTGGAGGCTTAAA